AACTAGCGTACTGTTCACACTTCAACTAGCGTACTGTTCACACTTCAACTAGCGTACTGTTCACACTTCAACTAGCGTACTGTTCACACTTCAACGCACTGTGCGGTTCCAACACAGAGGTACCAAAGCTGCGAGTCAAGTGTTATTGGGGAAATAAAAGACAGGCTTTAACGCGCAACACTTGGAATAAAAACACACTTGCATTGAATAACCATCTTTTCATTTTAGGTTTTTGTACACCCTCGATTCAAATGTCTGTAATGCATACCATGAAACATTTTCTTGAGCTCGTTAAGAGTCACGGGGGGCTACGCGGAGCAACGCTGGGGCCAGGTAAGCATGTGCCAGGATTTTTAAATGGGGCGTAAACGAGAAGGCGTTGAACTCGCGGCTCCTCGGCAAACGGGTTGAGCGACTTACTTTCAGGCAAATAAAAAACAGTGTATAGGGGGTACGATTACACAGTTCTCAGCAAGATGAAAAAATGGGTGTAGTTGCAGTAGAGTGGTATAAGCGGAATCTTTTGATAAGTTTGTAAATTAAATTAGGTAGATGAGCCCGCCTACAAAGCAAGCGTATCGCCGCTCGCGACCGTTCGGACTGCCGCTCGAGCGTGGGGTAGTGGCGGGAGGGGGGAAGGGGTCGGGGTTGCTCTCACGCTCCGCCTCCTAGTGCCGCCACCACGCCGCCGCTGGTGCCGCTGGCGCACAAATGCAGCGGGCCACAAACTGACAGTGGAGACATGCCTGCTATTTATACGCCCGGGGTACCGCGCCCCGCGCCACGGCTGGGGGAGCGAAGTGTGTCGGGTCGAAGCGTCCTTCGCCACGCTCCTCGAGGAATGCAAAAAAAAAGAAAAAGAAAAACTAAATGGGCGCGGGTCACTACGGCATCCTCCTCTGGTCTCGAGCCCCGAGCTGGGCTGGGCAGGACCCGCACACCCTCCAGCAGCAGCTCCAGTGCAGCGCGCCGGGAGGTAGGCAGACCCGCAGGACACGGGCGCTCGGCGGGACTGCCTACCTCCAGCTCGTCAGGCGCTCGGGCGGAGGACCGCACCGCGAGGAGTGCGGGCGGCGGTCGATCTCTCTCCCTCTCCCTCTCTGTCTACCTCTCTCTTTACCTCCCTCCCCTAACCACAAGTGCCGGTATCTCCGGCCGGGATCGGTGGGCGCGCGGTGCCAGGCGGCTCGGGCGTGGGGTCCCTGCCTGTCCCGACGCATCGGTTCCGCGGGGAGGTCATCTCATCTCGGCCCACAAGTAAGTGGGTCAGGATTGATGGGGTGGCGGCGCTAAGTGCAGCCGCAATGTCGCGTGCGTGAAGATGGGCGTCAGATTGTGGGGAAGAGGCCGCAATACTTTCAACAAGTTTCTTATTATTTGCATCGCGCGCGTACAGCCAATAAATTGTGTAATAAATTGTAGGATAAAATTTGTGAATTTCTGGTGGCAGACACCAGGCTGTAATTCTATTTCAATTGGAAACGACATAAACTTTTCCCAAATTTTGAAAACAATCATAGGGGGTAGGCAAATTTTAAAATTGGAATGTTCATTATGTGATGAATTTCTTATGCTTGTGACAATTCCTATGCACCTTAAAGAAAATGAAGGAAATAAGTGTAGTTACAACGACAGCGCGCTCGCTACCGCTGGCAGACGTGCTGCACAGGGCTTCGCCGCGGAGCACAACAAGAGCTACCGCCGGCTTCGCTGCGTGGATTACCTGCAGGTAAATGCATGCGATATTTATGGGACTTTGCCGTGGGGCGGGGCTCACCGCACGACATCCGCCACCCCCCGACCCCGTGTCGCGGAGTCGCGCTGGCAGACTTAGAAAAGTAATTAATTAAGAACAATGCACCGTAAATGCCCCCCCACCTCCCTCCATCGGTCATCCCGTGCGCCCAGGGCACTGTTCGCGTCATCACTATGGCTGAGCGATAGCGACCTCAAAACGATATTATTCTCCTGCCTGAGTGTGTTAGCTCTTTAAACGATTTATAACGCAGGCAAAAATAGAACGGTTGAAAACACCCTGAAAATGAGCTCGCAGATTACAAAGTCGTGAGAGGAGGGCTCAAAACGAAAAGTAAAAAAGGAAACAAGTACCAAGAAGAGAACCTTCAAGAACCACAATCAGAAAACGAAAATTGCCTCATTGGGTATCTAGAAGCCACACCACATGTGTAATCCCAGTCGAGTTTTCCTTAAGAAAACTGACAAAATTGCAACTTTAATTGGCGCATATCACTATGGGTATTTAATTAAGTTGTTTGATGTAATACGCAGCTAAAGAGTGCAATATATTGCAAAACTATAATCATTCGCACAGCCTCCACAGTATTTTCACTTAAGATTTTGTTTTGTCCTGAAACAGAATGATAAACAAACGGGGACCACGCGC